TGGCAAAGCTTCACCATTCAAATCAAGCTCAGTAGATCTTTTCCATTCCGGGGTTGATGGGCAAATAACGCTCTCAGGTTTTATTTCGTGATAAAACGTGTATAAAGCATCAATATAATCTGGTTTATATATCCCAGGAGGGCGGGCATCTGAAAAGATTTTTAATGCCTGACAAAAGCCATCATATGATAAGATTCTATACTTTTAAGAGGTACATAAAGTGCACATATATAACTGAGAGAAGTGAAATTACTCACCTGTGTAACATTCATTGGTCCAGATCGCATAAGATAATGAACTATCATAAACCCTGTCCGATTATGTCCATGCGTACAGTGGACGAGAATATACTTCTTTGAGTGCTTTAGATTTAGGACAAACTGATTAACCTGAAGAAAGTTTTCTTGAGTGAGCTACTGTTACAAGTTCAGGTAAAATATTTATGGATTTTGTGAACAAAAAACAAATACCTCATTGACAAACGTGTTGACAGACACATTATCCGGCACTGAATCACGACCCTTGCATGCAATCTACAAGCAAAGAAAACTAAAGATAAAGCACTCTGCTACAGCTTTCACGGAGGGTAATGGGTAAAGACAGTAAGTATTCCGTTTACCTTAACGTGCTTAATGCCTTCTTTCTTTAAGTCTGTCGTAGAATAGTAACGAGTTGTATTTGTCAAATCAATCACTAGACCAAGCTGAAAAGGACAGTGTCATTACACAATAAGTTAGATCACGGACATACTAGTGCTGAATAGGCAATGATACATACACATATTTCAACAAAGTAAGGACAAATATACTCCACAAATTACCTTTCTCCCAGCTATCCTCTGGTTATGGATCACCTGTTTGAAAGAGTATCTACTTCCAGGAGGTACGTGACTATTGTAAGCTTCATTCAGGGGAACTTTTGAAGGAACGATGAATCCGATCTCATTCCCAGAAGGAGGGCAATCTAGCCAACCTGTGATATTGGACAGGCTGTCAAAGAGTCACTCTATTTAAAGCTTTGGCCTAAACGCGAAGACACATACTAGCAAACTGTTTTTCAGCCAAAAGTTTTCAGAAGCCGTTTGTACTTGGAGTAGATACTAGCCATGAAATGATAAGCATTAATTCGCCTAAGAAATATCACCTTGAGGGATCTTGTATCTATCATAAGCTTTGGTATTTCGGTTCTGATAATACTGATCACGAAAAACTGGCTGAGAGTTGTGCGTTGGCTTGTCATATCTCATTCGTTTCTTTCTCTCTTCACGTTCCTGAAACAAAAACACAATAGAAAATCCATCCTCAGGCTCAGGGCAAATAACAAATTATGTGGCTAAATCCATCCATGTTAAAAGTAGAAAATCAATAGTACCCGTCTTGCAATTTCAACTGCAGACTCTATCCGGTCATCACGAGACGAGTATTCTTCTATATGTCTCACATAAGGTTCCTCATCTTCTTCGGGTTGGGGTGAAGCATTTAAGTCCATCGTAGCAACCATTCAAGGGGAAATGAACAACATTAACCTAACACTTCCTTCCTCTAGCTACCTAAGTCATGCCTGAAGGGATGATAAAAGCATAATATTAGCAGCCGCGGAATAAACGCAACACAGACCAGAAGAAAATGCAAACTCAAATTCCTTTCCTAATTCTCTCTATATTCATAAATTGAAGCAAATAAGAACCAAAGCAGAGAAAAAGATCAAGATAATCTCGTTTTCCTTCTTCGACTTAACTCAGCTACCAAACAGAAGATAAAGAAAAAAAAAACCCTAGAAGCGACGAATCAACGAAATCTCAGCCGGACATTTCAAATTCGTCCCGTTCTCGAAACCATCCCGAAAATAAATCAGGCGTGAACACTAACAAGTGCGAAAACTCACCAACAGCATCCAAAATCGGAGGAATCACCTAAAGCTTCCGGAGAATCGGAAGCAACATCAAGTGTACTTTGAGACAAGAAAGCTTCGTTGATGTCGATGGAAATCAAACGGAGATAACTAAAGAGAGCGAAGGTTCAGTTCAATCGCGGGTACAGTGGAAAAAAAAGTGAAATCGAAACCCT